AACACAAGCCACATCACCTTAAGAGTCTGCCTCTTAAACCCCTAATTTAACAACCCATTCTTACCATATTAATTTATTTTGATTTAAATTTAATCATCAAAAACCTATGAACCCCATTAAAAACTCTCCTTTGGAGATGCCCTTACGTTTTACATAGAAGATATGGGAGATTAAGATTCCGATAACTAACCATACCTCACTACAAAATTACACCACAACAGTATTGTAACAGTGTTAAAAAATCGGCATATATATTAATATATTTTTGTTACTATTTGAATTTTACTGTAATTTTTTCGCAGTGAAAAACGCAGTTACCATTTAGAGCCTTTTGTTTTTGTCATCCCCATTGAGAGCCTAAAAAGAACAAAATTCATGGAAAAGAATTAATTGATGCATATTAATATTAACATCTTGTGTTTTCTGAAAGAATTTCAAAAATACAATTTTTACGATAACACTTTTTGAAAAAAAAAAAAATTTCTTTTAATCATAAATACAACTAAAAATTTTTGCCGGTACAATTTGGTGTCACATCGAAAGAGGAGAGCGACAAAAAATGTTGCTTACGACTTAAGTATGCGGTGAAGGAGTCGCTAGATGTTAATCACGGAGACACGGAAGCTCAGCTTTTTTGTCGCCAGTTAAAACATCAACTACAACACATAACTAACGATATCACCGGCGATCATTTCCAGCGACAATAATCAACTTTATCATTAATATTTTTGTCTTCGTTGTCGCTGAAGTTGCGTCTTACATATAAACATGGCCTTATATATATTTTTAAGATGTGTGTAAATTTATAAAAATATACACAAATTATATATACATATGTAAAAAAATTGTATATAGTTTATAAATATCGTATAAATATATTTTTATAAACCTTATAAAATCTTATAAATTTTAATAACATGTGGTATCTTTTAAAAAGGATGAAAAATGTATTGTTAACATAAACTACACCAAAAATGATGATATTTATCAAAAAAGAAAAAAAAAAACAAATTTTATTTTGTGTTTGTGCGGCAATAGCAAATTATACTATGACGATTGCTGGTGAGTGTTGTTTTACGATTTAGTGGGACTGTAGGAGAGAGCACTTAACCTTACTTACATGTCTCCGAGAGAGAGCACTTAACCTTACTTATATGTCTCCGAGAGAGAGCACTTAACCTTACTTATATGTCTTTGATAGTTTATTCGACTCGACATTTTACCAATTAGTTTTGAATCTAATTTAATCGAAAGATGAACGAAGACTCAATCTACCAAGGGTGTTAGAATTCTGCGGATGTGAATTTGTCGACAGACCTATGATCATTTGGAGATTTTGGCTAAGGGATGAACATACAAATATGTTAACAGTCGGGCACACGTTTCGTGGACGGTCCACGACTGCCATATTTGCATATGTCACACTTTAGTACTATGGGTTTGAATGGTTACCATAGTCACTGTAGACGAATCAATATGCGGACTAGTCCGTTCTTTTTTTTGGATGGACTATAAACTGTTGCGTACCGACTCTATTTATATGTAAAAACAGTCCGTAATTGGTTCGCAGCGATTTTCTTTTTTAAAATCCGTAATACTGCGGTTCATTCCATCAGTGGTTTTGTCCGCTTCAATCGCTGCCACTATTCGAACCCTATGTGTTATGGAATAGAATACAGTAATTTTATCAAAATTTCAACTTTTTGAGATTCGGAAAACAAATAGTTTTTTTCTATCTTTTCACCTTAATTTTGCAGTCTTTGATATGGATCCTTTCTTTCAAGAAGATGCATGCAGCATTATGATATATTTTATACAAAAGAGAATATAAGCCTCAAGTCAAGAGACTAGAATCTTGTTGTCGTCGGTTCGAGTTCACCTAGTTCTACAACTAGCACAATGTGGTTTTGATGTATGCAACATGATATAACCATCTTAAAACCTCATGTCTAAACGTTATCCAAGTTGAGCAAAGGTGTATTATGTTACACAAGAGAATTTATTGTTTGGTCGGTTACAAAAAGGTCATCATAACTATGGATCATCTGTTGGAGTAACTATGGGATATGAGTTTTGTATTCACGGCTCTTTAAAACCCCTCAAGAAGTAACAGGTAAGGGTGATGGACCTTGTTGCACAAATTGCCGATAATTCTGAAGGATCATATACTGACAAATTAAAGTAAGTATCCATGTGTCATGTTTTCGTTGACATCTGGAAACAACTCTCTAAAGACCATCTTCAAATCTTGTCTGCTTTATCATGCATGTTCAATAGCCCATAAAGCTGATTCGTTCTTTGAGCACTTCATGGTTTGGACCAGAAGAAACTGAAATCGTTTCCATATCAATTGTTCCAAGAAAGCCACATGAATATTGGGTAGATGAGTATGGTTAGAAAAATTACAACTCCTTTCTTAAATAACCTTACCATACTAATTTTTGTAAGCATAGTTTAGACTTTAGAGTACATTTTCTATGGTTAAATAAATATTTAACAAGAGAAATTTGTCTTTGTTGACGAAAAAGTAACTTTTGAATTTTGAGAAACGATAATTATAATGAGTTTTTGTATGTAGGGACGGGCAAAATACACCAATACAAAAATCCGAATTAAAATCGATCCAAAATACTCGAGTCATATCCGGCTGAACATTAAAAAATTATATGGGCGGGTTCTAAACATCTAAACCCAAAAATTGAATTCGAGCCGAAAAAATGGTATCCGAAATATCCAAAAATATAATTATATATACCAATAATAATTATTTTAATATTTTAATTAATCCAATTATCAATTTTACAATTATAAATCCATAAATATCAATTAAATTTAGATTATAATAACTAAAATATCCTTAAAACATAAATCTCTGAAAATTCTTAATTATTTTATTAAAATTTAATCAATGTTTTAGATCTTTTTTTCTAATACTCCGGATATCTGAACCCAAACCAAAATAACTCAAACTAAACCTGAATCCAAACCCAAAAATGAAAAAAAAATATCCAAACATCCCGCCCTAAACTCGGAAACGCAAACTTCCAAATAATTCGAATCAGAATTCGAACGGATATTCAAATGCTTAATGCATGTTGTGAAGGATAATTTTTACATTTTGTAAGATAACAGAAATTTTGAAACGGATGATTTTTTTTTCCTTTTATCCAATCAATATCATGTTATTCAGTTTTTGATGTTTTTAATTTCAACAGATAAAAATGAAGACGTCTACTTCGTGTATATATATTGATAATATAATTCTCGACGTCGGTCGTGCAATAAGAATAATTGTTATATTTTCAAATGAAATTTTATGATTTATATATAAATTTGATATGATATCTCTGATATCTATCTCTAACAGCAACAGTGAAGTCTCTATCATGGAGCTTCAAGGTTCCTAATAAGGAAGCATTCTATAATAGAACAATTCATTACAGCTAAGTTAATAGTGTGTGTGAGCAGTGTGTGAACCGTGAAGTGTGAAAACGTCCAAGTTATTAACTTTTTCTTAAGTACGATTAATCTTGTATAAATAATGCGATGACATGTTCAAATTTGGAACCATCTACGTTTATTTGGATTTGAAGTACAAGTACTGTATGTGATGTATATTTCACATACGGTTATATATATACTGTATATACCAAAGTTTTTACTAAGATTATGTGGTATTAACAATTAATATAGTTAGGTGCACAAAAAAAAAAAACAATTAATATAGTTGTAGATTAACAAATACGGTTTCAACTATGTTGTGGCCATGTCAATGTTTTTTGTTTTCGATATACCATTGTAGTGATTCAACTGTATTTATTCAACAGCTTAAAAAATATCCATTGTAAGTAGTGTTAGTCTAGTGGTCGACGAAAGTTCATTTAAAGCTTCTACATCAACAGATTTTGGATTCGATACGTATGTAATGAGATTTATTAATTTACAGATTTAGGAGATAAGCTTATAGAAGATCTATAATAATGCATAATTAGACCCATTCGCCGTGATTTTACGCATGAAAGAGATATCGTTAGAAAAATTGTAATATATGGTGAAACTAATATGGTCAGACAAAATTGTCGGTAATAATTACGTCATTGTAATATTCTCATAATTTGCAATAAATAATAAATAAAAATAAAAAGAAAATTAAGAGATCCTAGATCAAAACTCTTATTTCCATATCTGAAGCCATTATCTTTTACATAGTTTGGTCATAAACATTACAAACGGACGATTTTTATACTTTTACCAGAAGTTTCTATTGGTCCATCTTTTGTAAATGTCTACAAAATTAAGATGGATAACAACAAAATTACTACAATTTTACAGACCGATTAGTATGAAAATACATTTTCGAATCAGACAAAGCTTTAAACTCTCTATAAACAGAATTTAACAAAAACAATATATACATATAGATATTTAATAACAAGAATAATATTTCTCTTTAACCTGTAAAAATGATATAAAATGTCTAACAAAAAATAAGTTTAATATAAAAAAAATACAAAAACATAACATGTAAAATCAGACAGCTTTTTTATATCGTTTTGTCTAATATTGTACAAAATCAAAGACGTGTATATGTATGATCAAACATGTAAATTTAGACAACTTTTTTTTTTTCTTTCATTCTTGTTATCCCGTTTTAAAAATAAAAACCAAATTAAGTAACTAAAGACACAAAAACAAGCCTTTCTTTTATATATTTTTATATTTGTGTTATAAAAAAGATCTGATCTCATGACATAAAATTTGTGAAATTCATAGAAAATAAAAGCTAGAATATAATTTGGAATTTTAAACAGTAGTTTATTCAAGTTCAACTGAATTTCACTGTTTGTCGGTGCACGTGTACGGTCCAAGTCGCCAAAAGATACGTTTCCCACTAATCCGTAAAACAGTAAATGATACTATTCATATATATATATATATATAACTTTTTCATGATAATAAACAAAAATGACGTTTTACCAACACAGAAAAAAAAAAAACAATAATAAGAGAATAAACATATATTATATATATTATAAAGTTTTTTATTTATTTAATTAGAACTCAAGATCGAAACCTGAAAACTGAACATTGCTTTTATCGCCGGTACCATCTGCATCTACATGCATGGGTGTAGGAATATTATCAAGATCTTCGGATCCGACCCGGGTTTCCTCGGGTCGGGTTTCAAGATCTCCGGCTGATGTGGCCGTGGCTGTGGTGGTGGCAGTGGTCCCTGTGGAGGGTTGGCTGTACAAAGCTGTGAGTTGGTGAAAATAAGGACAAGTCCTTGAGTCAAGTGGTCTCTTCTTGTTAACATCTTTTGTCTTCCTAAAATACTTGTTGATGTTTTCCCATTTCTCTTTGCATCTCTTGGCACTTCTCTTGTACCCAAGCTCCAACATTTTCTTGGATATTCTTTCCCATAATGGAACAGCTTTTGATGATGGTGATGAGCTTTCATCATCGTTCATGTTGTTACTGATATTGCGTCTTATGTTGATAAGGGCCAACACTTCATCCTTTGGCCATCTCTTGCCAAGATCACTTTTATCTTCACTTTTTGGTGGTTTTGGGTTTTGGGTTTTGGTTTTTAGGGTTTTAGTTGGAATGGGTTGGAGTGACTTGTCATTGGTTAAAGGAGTTAGGGTTTGATGTAATAGTGATGATGATGAAGTTTGAAACTTCTTTCTTCTTCCTTGGGTTTGTGGTAGAGCTAAAGAAGATAAGTCTTGATCAAGATCATGGTCAGTGAACTTGGATATGAACTTGATGATGTTGGTGTTTCTATCACTAGCCATGGCTTGTTCTTGTTTTCTAACCTCTAACTCTTTGTTTACCCTCTCCATCTCTTGTTTCTTCCAATCTTCCTCTCTTGCTATCTTTTCTTCTTCCTTCTTCGCCATATCTTCAAGAAGCTTCTTATGCATCTCCTCTTGTTGTGCAATCATGTTCCTCACAAGACCTTCACAAAACCCTTTCAACACACCAAACCTCTCCTTCTCTTTCTTCCTCTTCCTCTTCTTCTTCTTCTTCTCCCTCATGACCATCATTAAGCTCGAAGATGATGAAGACTTCACATCATCTTCCACTACTTTTCCTACATCAATCAAGTTCATCTTATTCCCCATTGATGCTTCTTCTACTTGACCTTGATCCTGATCTCTCAATTTGTCCTCATCCATCAAGTCTTGTCCCGTTTCCTCCACGTTTCCTTTTCTCTCTAGTGAATTAGTCCTCTTGTTTTGGTTATCCCCAACTTCTGGTGAGACATGACCATCATAAAACTCCTCAACCTCACTAAATATCCTATAACTATTTCCCTTGTTGTTGTAATTGCCTATGTGTTGATGATGATCACTAGTGTTGTTGTTGTTGTTACCATTGAAATATCTTCTCTCTTCTTCTTCAAATTTCTCTTTGCATTCTTGTGGACTCCTCTTAAACCCAACTTCTGCCAACTTTCTACAACATCATAATTTCATAAACGACATAGCCTCATTAATATGTGAACATACATATATTAATATATAGACACACATACTTATACCAATTTAATATACACATATTTATTATGTCTATTATTTTTTTTAAAAATGTATTAAAATGTCAATTATTATGTATACATTTAAAATACGTATTAATGGTCAATCATTTGCTAACCTAAAAACTAAATAAAGATCCTAAAAGTGTTTAGTCGAAACAAACAAGATCTAGTCTACCATAATCAACTTGTGTAACTTGAATTCCCATTTATAATTGCTTTATTCTTTTTAATTCTACCAAAACTAATATGTATACATGAACACATATAAACATTAACTTAAGATACTTAGGTTCATGTCCATATGCATATACAGAAACATAAATATTTGTTGATGTATATATATACATAATTAGAAGAAATATGTGTTAATTAGTTACCTTGAGGTGTGTTCCCAAGTGAATTCAGGGAACCAATTCTCAACTGTAGATCTGAACCTAAGAAGAGCAAGAACTTCATCACTACACCATGGATGATGGTGATTGTCACTACCATCATGATCAGTGTGACCTATCCACTCAGCTGTAGTAGCAACACCACTATCTTTGATGTCATGGTGATGATGATGATGATGGTGGTGAATGATCTTGCGGCTATCAAGACTCAAAATATGCTGAGCTTGATGATGGTAGGTGTTGAAGGAAGCAAATGAGGCAGGGAAAGGGAGTGATCTTTCAGCCGCCGGTTGATGCGGCGGAAGAGGAGAAGCTGGCGGTGGTGATGTTATGAACCGGTGGATCTGCTCCGGTACTCCACCATCAAACATTTTCTTTTATTAGTCTTCTTGTTTTGTTTTGGTTTCACTTATAAAGCTATTCACATAGAAATCTCTCTTTACTCTCTCATTTTAGTGTCTCTCTTTTTTTTTTTTATATTGCTATTTTCTTTTTTCATTTTTGAGGACTAGAATTGATATTTATTAAACAAAAAAGTAAAATATCTGTGGTTGGTTTTATGCCATAAATGAATACTTTTTTTTTTATATCTTAAACATGATTTGGAGTGTATATTTGATTATTAATTGTATAAGAAAAACTCGTGGAACAGTGTATAATATATGTTATAAAATGTTATATACTAAGTAATTACAAGAATAAAAGATGATGGAGAAACTTTATTTTCTTTTCTGGTTTTGTTCTATTAACTTTTTAGAGAATCTTCAAACCATTCTTGAATTATTTGGCATATAGTTCAAGAATTGAGATTTTGAATCTCACGTACGGTCCTATTGATGAAAAGAAAATTAAATGCTAATTTTTATGAAAAAAATGATCAAAAGAAAATTTCTGATTTAATTGAATTTGTATATATGAGCAATGTATATATGTTTTGTTCTTATCTTTCTATAATATATTAAAACATAGCAATAATGAAATTACAAGTCAATTTGTTACTCGAAAAGCTACCTTGTAGATAAACACGCGTATACAGTCCAATTTTTTAAAAAAACTTTGTTTGTTTTTGCATAATAATTGACTGATAGTGAGAGTTATTGTATAATAAATGTAAAAGAAATTATATTAGATTCAAATTTACAAAATGGCAAAGAAAAATAAAACAATATTACTAAAAACGCCAAACATCACCTCTCTCTCATTTACCACTGACATTTTTTTTTGTCCCAATATATTATAAAATCGAATCATTTAGCCCATGTTATTGCCACCCCTTATGCTCAAACAAATTAAGTGAAACCTATGCATTAAAGGAATACTTGTATAGTTGAATACTTGAAAAAAGAAATGTAAAAATATTTTAAAGCTGGTTTTGAGATTCATATTTTTTTATACTTTTGTCTTAAATTCATAGGATAAAAATGGGCATGAGACATGAGTGTATTTCTTTAATTTCTAATAAAATAAAGGTACGAAAATAATTTTTTTTTTCTCGAGCCGTGGCCACCGAGAGATTAATATGGCGACATCGTCGAGCTTGTAGAATATTTCCGCGACCGTGACCATGAAGCGTTAGGCTTTCGTGGAGTTAGTCGGTTGTCTCCGAGTTTCAGACATCTAGATAATATATAAAAGAATGGTACGAAAACAAAAAAATTATTAAGATTCTGAAATCTATTAAGTTGGTGCGATATATCAAAAACGAAAAGAAAATATCAACCAAAAATATTGTATATTCAACTTTTTGAAACGCCAATAATATAATTTCTTATTTACAAAAAAAAAATTCATAACATACTTATATTAAAAAATTTATAATACATAGGCTAACAACTATTAATTTTATTTTTGGTCAATTACAAATGTTTAATTATTAAAACAGTTACGAAATAAATTTACTAATGAAAAAAAATTTAGTTAAGAAAAAAAAATTTCATAACAAAATACATAACTTAATAAATCAAATAAATTTTGCATAACTAAATAAAACTAGACATAAGAGATTAAATAGTAGGAGTGATCTCTTTTTTTTTTACATCTCACTGATTTTTCTAGAGACGACCATAAACATTTCCAGTATACAAAAATAAAATATAAAAACTGTGTTTTGTTTTGTCTTATTTTTACATAAATTATTCTTTGTCTTTATTATGATATAATATACTTAAGAAAACATTAAAAATATATATAAAATTATTTTTGGAGGTACATAATTTAGAATCCTATGCAGAAGCAGATGCAGATGATAGTGTAATAAACGGCAAACGAGAATGGCAGGGCACGTGAATACATGCAGGAACTGGGTCCTCTCTTTTTTATTTATTTATTTTTTGTTAAAAATTGATTTTTTTCTTTTTTTTTACGACCCCATTGATTTTGTCTTTTAGGTTTTTATTCATCTGCTTTCAGGTCCACGTTATTTATGGTGCACCTCATTATTATTTTTTTACTTTTGTCGACTTGTCGTTATTGTCGTCAGCGATATTGTATTGGATCATGGGAATCACACTATTAGGACGAGGTACGTGCAAATTCTTGCTTTCATTATTTTTTCTTTCTCTCTAGTGTCGGCTTAGTTTAGTTTCACATCTACTATACTTCTTTAGTTCTTTGCATGTCCATAAGACGGACGGATCACATTTATGTGATTCTTCTTCTTTGATAAACTTGTGTGTTTGTGGCTGACCTTAGCCCTGGGCATATGGGTTCTAGGTAGGAACCGATCGGTTCCGGATCTTACGGATATAAGAAAGTTTTATCCATTTAAGATCCAAAAAGTTTCGGTTCGGATAACGGTTTGGATCCTCTCGGTTCTGGGTCGGTTCGGTTTTACATTTTTGGAACCGTATTATATCCAAAATACTTGGATATTCATTTGGTTAGGGTAAAATGCACTCATTTGTATATGAAATGTAGCAAAATACCCAAAAATAAAAACAAAATAGAAAGAAAATTAGATTAGGTTTACTCTATTAGGGATACAATATCCCACATTGAAAGTTGAGTAGGATCCTCACTATTATATAAGATATATGGGCCTCTCCACTTATTGGCAATTGGTTTTAGGTTGGAACCCCACAATCTAATATACTCTAAATCCGGATAAACGGGTACTCATTTGGTTCTCAGGTAATATCTGGATCCGACCCGATATCCACGAGTAGAGAAGAACAATATCTATCAGTTATTTAGGCAATAACCAAATCTGAACCGAACATGTTATTTTTGGGTCGGTTCTAGTTCGATTTTTCGGTTCCAGTTTTTATGTCCAGGGCTAGCTGACCTAATGAATTTTGTTTTTGTTACAAAGTTACAAGTCAAAATGATTGTTACAATAAGAGAATGTGAGTTATTCTAAGCTGATGTTGTCTCACATGCGTCGTGTATGTGATCGATGATTTGGAGTTTTCATCGTTGATGGCTTGGTCACTCGAGCATCTAAGTCTCTAGAGCTAATATTTATCGTAACAAGACAATTCACAATAGTCTTTTCTCTTTTTCTTTTTGCAACTCGTTCCAGAAGGATAACAAAAACGTAATTGCTTCATTTTTTTCATATAGTTTAATTGGTTGATCGAGCAAATTGATTGACAACTTGGTTTTAGGATCGTATTGTGCTTTCATATTATTTTTTTTCTTTTGCAATGTATAGATATCTAATTCTTTTGACAATTTTTTTTTTCATTATTATTAATGAAATATTTACCATTTAGCAAAGGAAAAAAAACATTATAGAAGCCAGCAATTCGAGGTAAAAAGAAATGCCAAGTGATCTTTGATTTAGGAATTGGCAGGACATTTCCAAAACATTGCAAAATTATATAAACATATACCCTTTGAATTCGAGTATATTTTGGATGTAAGATCTAGGCTAAATGAAACTAGTTTTCGGCATTCAGATATTTGAATAACTAGTAAAAAAAATACCTATAGCCACTTGGCAGTCGCGAAATTTCATGGCTATAAGATATTTTTAAAAAGCCACAAATTATTTAAGGTATGCCGCTATAGCCACGAATATTAAGACACATCCACGAATATTAATCTCTATATTCAAGTGGCTATAAGATTTTTTTTTACTAGTGTATATTCGACTCAATACTTTTGGCTTTTGGATTTTTCAGATAGAGTTTATGAATTCTTTTTTTTGTTTTAAGTTAGTGCTTTGTCAAAAATGGCGAAAGAGATTTTACACATTTATAAGTAACTACTCTTTTGCATTTTACCTTACATAATTTAATTTGTTTGAATTTCTTTTCAATTTTGTTAATAATTTTAGTATATTATCCATATATTGAAAAGAATATCTCATTATATAAACTTTAGTTTTCAAAGTCAACCATTAACAAGATCGTGACACGTGTCAATTATAAACGATAAGATGTTGACACGTGTCGTACTAATTTTATTAATATTGGATAAAATAGAAATATTATTAACCCTATCGAAAAAGGAAATATATAAAATAAATATTATACAGAATTATATATTAAAAATTATTAATAAAATTAAACAAATAACCTAATTTCAGTTATGTCAATTTGATTTATTAATAAGATAGAAATTTAAAATTTATAACTAACAAGAATATATGGCGGTTTTTGTTTACAGAAGAGGATTAAGGTTTAAACTTTAATTTTACAATTAAATCAGGTTATTTGTTGGTTTGGGTATATAAATGATAAATAAGAATTATGGTTTAAGTTTAACAATTAAACAAGATTATATGTCGAAACTTGGTTTCTAAATTTACTAACTCACGTGATCATGATAAGTGTCAAGTAAAAACATAAGATGTCGCAACATGTTATATCTAATTTTGTTAATATTAAGATACAAATAGAAATTTTAAACAACATTAAAAATAATTATAAAAGATTAAAGAGAATTTTTGAGAAATACCACTTTTGGTGTACCCCTTTTCAAAAATACCTCCTTTATCTATCCATTTTCAAAAATATCCATGTTTAATATGAAAATTATAAAGTTTTATATTGTTTATAAGGTACTTCTATATAATAACTACTACTTGGAAATTTAATACAAATATTTTATAATGTTTTAAATGGTTTAAATCATTTTTACAAGTTTTATAAGGTTTTTTAAAGGGTTTATAAGGTTTTTAAAAGGTATTTATAAGTTATTTTACGCTATTTATAAAAGATATATAAATATTTAAACATATGTAAAGGTAATTTGTGTGTATATTGATAAGTTTACACACATATTTGGATAAATTCAACATTTAAAGTGGTTTATTTTTTTAAAGTTTGATTTATAGTGGTATTTTTAAAAGGTGGTATGGAAAAAGGGTATTTTTGATAATTAAAAAGTAAAAAAATTGATATTTATAAAAAAATATGTGTAAGTTTATATATTTAGACACAAATTATCTTTCTATGTGTGTAAATTTAAATACCATATAAATACCTTTTAAAAACCTTTTAAAAATTATTTAAAAACCATATAAAAACTTT